TGAATATGCTCTTCTAGTGTTTTGGAGAAAATGACTATGTCATCTATATATATACAGACAAATTTTTTCCAGTGTTGGAATTCATAATCCATTTGATGTTGGACATAAGAGACACTATTAATGTATTTCATGACTGCAACATTAAAAACTTCTTGTTCTCTGTGTGTTACCACTGTTAGTTTATCTTGGTCATCAGAGTGTACTCATCATTGATAAAAAAAGAATGTGACATCTAAAACTGTAATGTAGAAACAGCCAACTATGACTGCTATTATATTCTCTTGTTGATGTAGTGAATAGATATCTGAAACTGAATGGGCATTCAATGAGCATATGTCAATCACTGAATGGCCTTTAACTATTTACTGCTCATTTTTCATGACCCATTGATATGCTATAAAGACTGGGTAAGTGTACTTTACATGGTGTAGACTGTGCATCATATGATCTTTGTGATGAAGTTCATTAAATGTCTTATCAATTATGACTTCTTCTTGTTTGAAAAGGGGATACTTTCTTGCAGATTCTTGTGATTTAGCAGTGTCTTTAATTGAGATTCTCATTCATCAGTGTTGTGGAATGTTCACAAATGTTCCTTTGTCTTCCCATACATTGTGGTGAGTCATGACTGTGTCAGTCAGCTTTTGGGTGTCTGATGATTTGCCAAATATGATGACTCCATTTGGTAGCTTGGTTTTCTCTAGTACTGATGTGATTAATTTTATTGTTGGTGATTGTTGTGCTGGTATGTGAGCTAAAGTTTCTGGCATTGAGATGTCAACATGATATGCAAAGTCTTCATGGGCTTCCTCTAGGTATTCTATGTGGGCATGATGTTTAATAGTGTAGAAGATATTGGTATTGTTTTCTAAAATAGTAAATGGGAGGTTAGTCTGCATTACTTAATTATAGCATGTTAAAGTAGAGCATTGAGGATGAAAAATATAGTCTCTATCTGTTGATAGTGATTGTTGATTCTGAGTTCTAATTGATAGTTTGATTTGAGAATGTGGTGGAATGTTCATGGTCAAGATAATGTACAATGTTCATTTAGATTGATGATTAGATTTTGAAATGACAGTCAGTCATGTGTGAGTGTTATCTGCTCTTGCAAATATTGCATGCTGTTGAAGAAAATCAAGAATAATGTCTTCTGGTGCCAGATTGTCAACTTCAATGAGTATGTTAACTGGCAGGGTGTTGACAACTTGGGCTATTATCATGATGTGAATGATGATTTTATCATCTTTTGAGTTGAAATCTGAAAAGTGTAGTGAGAAGCATGCTGAGGCATGAGATATCAATCTCTCACCAATTTCACTAACAGACAACAGTGTTAAATCTTGAATAATTATTGTTGGATCCTGTTTCAGGAGAAATTTACAGTTAACTAACATAGAGTTGCATTCTGAGTCAAGGCAACAGACTGCTAGTTTGGAAGAGTTCTTAATGTAATCTTGCACTGTTGCATGTTTTCAGTGACAGAAGTTCTGTTGTGTGTCCAGAATGAGATCAATGTGATGTGACACCACTATATCATGTTCAGAACTGATGTGATAGACTGATGGCTCACATGTATTTAGATGTTCAAAGAGCTGATTTCATAAAGAAAAGACTTCTTCACAATGATAGCAGATAGTGTGAGAATCAGCATTCATCTGATTCATTTCAGATTCTGAAGATGTGTTGTCTTCAGAAGTAATTGAATTTTCTTCTGATTCATATGAATAATCTTCATCAACATTTATTGGGTCTGAATCTGTTATATATACTTGTTGCAGTCCTACTGTATTATGGGATGGAGATGATGAACTTTGTTCAGTTGGCTTGGACTGGAATTTTTGGAGTCAGTCATTTGGTCTTGTTCTTCATTGTTGATTATTTTGCATGCAGCTGAACTGTCCATAGAATTGACTAGTTGCATATGGGCATCTTATATTTGGTGCCTGGAATGTGATGGCTTTATAGAGAGGTCAGTAGATAGATGTCATGTTATATTAATTAAATCAATTGACTTCTTTGTGAGTCAGCAGTTCATGAAAGATGTTCATTGTTGTGTCTTTTAGTGATTCATCTATTGTGACTTAAAGAGAAGTTTCAAGATGACATCATGCATGCAGTATGACTGCAAATTCTGAAGTGACTAGTTCACATTGATGAGCTACTGTCATGATATCAGTGAGATAGAATGCTGTTGACTTGCTGTTGCAGACATCTGCAACTGTATAGTGAATGCTATTGAATTTAGATTGTGCTTGTGCTGATGATATTTGGAAACATTTTTCAAGAGCAAAGCATCAATTCTGAATGTCAACTGAATCATAAATAAGAGCTTTATGTGCTAGATCATTTAATTCAACTGTTCATCAGATCATGACATTTTCATGAAGACATGAGTACAATTCAGCATCTATCTGCAGTGGGTCTTTAATGACAGCTGCAATCTTGATTCTGACAGTAAAAAGATATATGTCTTTAATTCAGATCTTTTCTTCTTGATCTGCAATGTCTCAGCCTCAATGGTGTGGCATATCTGAGTAGAAATAGTCAATATCAGTGATTTTCCAGCTTTGCTGAGGTGTGTGATTGTTTGTAGTAGAATGTTAGACTGATAAGACTGCTGTTGAAAGAGAAGTAGTTGATTCTCTGTGTAAGACTGCTAATTCTGAATGTATAATTGTATGCATATTTGCTGTAACTGCATCTATGATCTGTTGCATATCCATGTCATTTGTATGAGATGCACATTTTCTCAGAACTTTAATTGATGATCCAGAAGAGTTGTCAGCATTTAAATCTTTAGAGAACATGATTGTAATAGATTGTTGAATTGCAATGGATTGTTGATTTACTGTAGTTGTCTGATCTGAAGATGAATCTTCATATGTTGTCAGAGTGAGTAGTTTCTGCTGCATTTGATTGAAAGTTGTTGATGGAGCATTGTTTGAATTATCACTTTTGGATGAAAGATTCATAATCAAGCTATCTGAGAGATTGCTTGAGAATCTGTCTGATGCAGCTTGCTTGCTTAATAGTAATGTTCTATAGAAAGTTAGCTTTGTAACTATCATTGTGTTCTAAATAAATTTGTGAATTGTCATTCTGATTATTAATGAATTCAGATTTCAGTCTGCTGAGTAAAATATGTCAGAGAACTCTGATTCTGATTAAGTCAGTCATGAACTGTTCAGCAGAAGCACTTTAGAATTCTCTTTTAATATATAAGATTGATAAATGTTAGAGATTTGACTTTCTGATAATGATATTCTATTATTTTTGGTGATGAATTCTGCTAGATGTTGAGTGCCAAGTGAAATTACTTGAGAGCTAGGGTTACTTCAGCTATAGTTAAGTATGTATTTAGCTATTTGCAATACAGACTTTGGGAGAGACTCAATGATTGATCTGGTTTCATTTGCCAGTTCCATTATAGTTAGTGGTTAAATATGTTTAGAGTTCATGAGTAATTGAGCAAGAAATTTTAGAATTTTGGACTGCTCTCAGAGTCGCCAATCAAGCAAGACATGCTACCAGTTTGTTATCTGGTCTATAAGAGCTACAGAATGTCTGTGTGATTTTGGTTGAGTAGTAGATGATGTTTCTGTTATTTCTCCTCTGAGCTTCTTCAATAGACTTGGGATGCTGACTAACTAACTACTATCTTTATCTAGCTACTTCCATAAATATGTACATGTCAAGCATGGCTTTTAAGTACTAGTAAGGTTAGGGCTATGCTAACTAATAAGATACTAGCTCTTAGGGCAGGTCTAGCCTACAGTGAGCATGACAAAAATGACAGCTTCTGATATCTGTTTTTTTAAAGTTATTCTCTCTAAGATGTCAATATTTAATAACTCATTTAAAATATTAATTAAGTGTTTAATTTATGCTAATAATACTTCTTAATTATTCATTGAAGAAGTTTCAGTTATAGTTTTTAAAACTATAGTCTAATTTATCTATTTGTCTTAAGAGACAATGATAGAGATTTTGATCTATAAATTATTATTAGAATTTACATTTTATTATCTTTTTTTAATTTCACTTCTGATTTCAGTTATAGTATCTGAGTGTATCTAACAGTGTGAAATTGTGTTTATTGTTGCATAAAATGTATTGATATCAAAGAGATAGAATAGAAAGAAATTTTCTAATAAAATAGTTTAATAAATTATTTTATGTTTAAGTAATAAGAACTGTAGAATAACAGTCTATAAGATAAATGCTAAAGAACAATATATTAAGTCTACAGTGTAAGAAAGATAACTAAGTTACACTTATAGTATCAAAATAGTATTACTGTATGTGCAGTAAGAGAAGAACTCATTACTGATCTTCTGTGAGAGAAGGCCAGTGTGGCTTTAAGTACTAGTGAGATTAGGGCTACACTAACTATTAAGGTACTAGCCTCTAGGGCAGGCTTAGCCTACAGTGGGCATGACACCTAACCTTAGTCCCTGCGGTCAGCCTAATTAATTTAATTTACTGTCGTCGTCGTCGTTAGTACTGTCTAAGGGCGCAAGTCCCTTTAAAGGATATTTGTTAATCAAATCAATCTTGTCTGAAGAAAATACCGCCATGCTGGAATTACAAAATCTTTAAGATTTTGGCGAGGTGAGGGCGAGGTAACGCAGTGATCAGCTTAAGTTCTGGCAAAATTGGGTTGGTTCAAAACACCAAATTCGCGCTAAAGAACTTTAACAGCATGTGTCTACTAATCTCTGTGCCTAGCTGGTTGGCTGGCACAAAGGCGCTGCCCGACCCAGATGTAATGGTTCAAGATGAGGCGGCAGATTCGTGTCAGGCGACTTAGCCATTCTCAACTAGTTAACTAGTTAGTTAGTTAACTCAAACAAGCTTAGGATGTCACATTTCTACAGGTATAAATAAGTAACTAGTTCCTCTACTCCCATGACTATTGCATTCATGTAGTTCAACTTGTACCTGGTGAGAAAAGCCAGTTGACTCCTATTCCCCGCATTCACCCGATTTACCCTACAATGACGACTTTCGTTCGTTACAGTCTTGATAGTGCAATCGACCGGTTTTTCGACTCGAACACTACCGTTACGAGACAGCAATGCGATGAATTTGCTACCTCTCACGCAGGCGGTGTTCCAACTGCTTTAGACATGCAAGGCGTGTGCAGCTATACTGTGACCGCAGGCCCCAACAACTCCAAACTTTTTCAGTTTCGAGATGAGAACTCTATCATTGATATGGGCAACATTACTCTTGCCCAAGAAGTCCATCCCGAGTTTGTCTCCAGCTGTGTGTATCTTGGTACCTTGGGCGAGTCGCGTCCAGTATATATCTACGAAATGGAGTACCTTTCCGGAACTCCTCATATAATGGCGCGAATTCCTCAGGACGACATATCCAGACACGGTAACACCATCAAGGACTTTGCAAGGTACCTTTAATAAAGCTTTTGCGTAAATTTCTCCTACTGACAATTTTGTGTAGATTCTTTGCGCAGTCATGGAACAACAATCTACAACTATGCTCCGATGCAACTGCTTCCTTACTTACAGAATTTCAATCAAATTTTAATCTTCTTGCTGAGAAACTGCCTTCTCGCTTCAAACCCAACCTAAAACAGGTCCAAAAGGAACTCCCGTCTCTCTTCTCGCCAGCCTTCCGCTTTGCTCTTAGTCACGGCGACCTTAACCCGATGAATATCCTAGTAAATCCTCAAACCGGAAATGTCACAGGAGTTGTTGACTGGGCTGAAGCAAAGATCCTGCCATTTGGTTTCGCGCTATATGGACTTGAGAATTTTTTCGGTTGGATGAATTCCGAAGGGTGGCACTACTATGATCACCACTGCGAACTGGAGAATCTCTTTTGGGGAACCTTTCGAGAAGAGGCTCGTAATTTCTCTGACACTGATTTGGTTTTGGTCCGCGCCGCGAGAATGGTTGGATTTTTCTACCATTATGGATTTACCTTTGACGCAAAAGGCGTGGTGCAAGGTGTACGAAAGGAACAGCAAGGAGGTTCGTTCGCATACCTGGATGCTTTCTGTGCTTCTGGTAATGGGACTCCCCTTGCGTAGACCGCTTATTATAACTTACAAGAACGCGGTAAAATGTCATATCCAGATCCATTGTGTTTCTATCTTAAGAAAGTATAATAGCCATAATCTTAATTAATCTCAACCCAATCTCTAGGGAGAAAATCAACTCAAAAGACAATCTCTTCGCCTCGGAGAATGGCCATAAGCTGGTTCTCCGTTTTGATATCACCATCAAAAAAGACCTGGTGGGTCTCTCTGATAGTTGGTGCATGCTTCTCACTGTCCTTGAACTGCTCTTTAAGAATAAACCCCGTGATACAGAAAGCTTCCCCACGGCTCTTCACATCCCTTTCATCCAGCATGACTGTGCCTTTATTCGCGAGGATGAACTCACTCATCGTTGCTGGTGCATCATTACCAAGAACTTGGAGCCCTAGGAGATCAACCAGATGATGGGTTTGAAGGTATTTAATCAGTTCCTGGAAGAACATAGGATCGACATCATCTAGGCAAAGGGTCGGTCCTTGGCGATACTCGTAGGCTTGCATCTCGCCACTGACTGTCAGTTTGAAGATATGACCATGGATCTCTGCCGGGTTGATGTCTCTGATGGGGGTGGGCTGGGTCCAGCATCCCCGAACAGATGTAAGGGGCGTCCCCAGCATGATTTTGCCTTCCTCAATCTGGAAGTGTCCATGGATCAGATGGAGTCCAAATATGTTCTGAACCTTGAAGCGTGCAAAGATTCTCGCAAGCTCCTGAAGGTGGATCTTTGGCACCTCGGGCTGGTCTCCATCGTCTGGTAGAAGATTGTAACTTTTTCAGCAAAATTAGCGTAAGACCAGTAACGTCACAAGTCAAGATTAACCTACGTCTGAGAGGATCGCAAAAGGTCTTTAACAGTAGGTGGGGCATGGAGGCCGGGAATAACAATGGGAAAAGTTACAGCTGCCATGATTAGGGTATTCTTTGGATAAGGCTATTTATTGTTGTTCGCAACTCATCAGTTGATGGATAGACGATGAGTTGCTTCAGCTGAAGTGGTGGGTAGTCTTTAAGTAGTTATCTGTTCAGCAGTTACCAACTGTAAAGCACTCGTATCCTCTCGCTTATCTATGTACTTGCATATGCCGGCTTCAATGCCATCTGCAGCTTCCTTGTCATCCTGCTACTCGGAAGACTGTTGGGTCATGTTCTGCAGTAGTTCATAGTAGGTGATTTCTTTGATGGGAAAAACATTCCAAAAATTGTCTCCTGCATGTGAGGGCCAAAGCTGTCAAATATCATTGGGCCATAGTTCAGGATGGATTTGAAATCTCATGCATTAGTGTGAGGCTGTGTTAAGATTTTTGCCTGTCTATTATAGTTAGTTAACTAACTAACTAACTACCTGCCTAAACTATGTAAGGTAATTTAGCCTAACTATGTAAACTAATTATACGAGTACAGCGAGCTGACTAGTGGTTATACGGGGGTAAATTAGTGTGTGTTATAACCTGCGTTACTATGTAAGTTATGCCAAGGTGCCATCTAACTTTAGCGGGGCAAGTTATCATACTAGGCCCAATATAGTCTAGTGCATTTGAAAAGTCTTGGCATTAGGTGCCCTGAGAGCTTAGTAACCAGCCTGCGCGCTGTGTAGGCTCCTGGTCTTGGCATTACGCGCGCCGGAGCTTAGTAACCAGCCTGCGCGCTGTGTAATCAGCTGTGTAATTGTGTAATTACTAAGCTCTCTAATCTCTCTCATTACTAAGCTACCAGCCTGCCTGCGCGTGTACTGTTTTGGCATAGTAATTCTACAGCCTGCCAATCACCGTACGGGGGCCCCATATAACACAAACTCTAACTCATGCCGCCAAGCTGGCTGATAACCGAGTTATACTGAATGGGTTTGTTAGGGGAGCCGCCGTGATAACCGGGTTATCAGGGCTTGGCAAGTTATAACTTCGTAACGCGGGTCGGTGATAATGATGTTGGGTACGGAGTACTCTGTACTATGTACAAGCCTCAAGCCTGGTTAGATGACTCACTCTGGACCTCATCACTTCAGACGCGTGCTGTTGACGTCCTTTAGTGGAACACAGGATGGCTGAAAAGTTTTTGACGTGACACGGTTAACAGCTCGGAAAAATTGCAGTCCGACAGGAAGAGGGATTCCAGTGGTTAGTTAACTAAGTATTAATTTCCAACACAAATATAGAACACCACAATCCCTACAGAGTATACAATGACAATGCTTAAGAAACAATGGAAAGTTAACATCTTCTTCTATGCTGATTTCAACTTGGCTGAACTTCTTGAACTGGCCCAAAGTTTGCGCAATGTGAAATGTTTCTGCGATTCCACACAAAAGCTGTTCAGTGGAAGTTTCAATTGGGCGATAATCCTGACATTTGCTGATGGAGTTGAATGGCTATTTCGAGCTCCCAGGACACATTCTGGGTTGGATAAGGAAACAGTAAGAGCTGCGCTCACTAGCGAAGCATCTACTTTAAAATATATTCGCCTGAATAGTTCGATACCGGTTCCGGAGGTTCATCATTACTGGTACGTTGTGCTGCATTCCAAATACTGGTCAAACTAGCTGATAATTATGCAGCGCCTTTGAAGACAACAGCATTGGTATTCCTTTTATACTCATGAGACGGGCGCAGGGCATCCCTCTTTCTAACTATGACTGGCACCCTCAGCAATGTGAGCCAATTTCATCTAAGGCCCGCCGATGTTCGTTGAAAGAAAATGAAAAGCAGAAGATTATGAAGCAGCTTGGGATTATAATGTCACAGCTCTCACGGCCGCGTTTTGATAAAATTGGTTCGCTTTTTGAAGAAAATGGGCGTTTCAAAGTGGGGCCATGCCTTGCACCAGGTTTACTCTTGCTCGACCGCCATATCCTACAAGGAATCTTTCGTGGTCCTTTTGAGAACGAGGGCGAATATTACAGGGCACTACTCTCGGCTTACTTTATGCATTTACGGGAATTGACGTTGGAACACCACGCCTTCTTTGCACCCGTTCCAGTTCCGATGGAGTATGATTGTTACTCCAGTTACCTAGCAGCAACTGATCGGTGGAACGATTTTGTCGGGCTTGGCTCTAAGATTGAAACCAGTCCAAACAGATTAGACTATTTTGTGGCTGGGTTGTTTCTTGAAAGCATTATACCAACTCTCGGTGGTGATCTGGAAGAAAGCGGCAGTGATCAACCTGATGGCTTTGCGCTATATCACGCTGACCTCAGCCTGAGCAACATATTCATTGATGAGCAGCACAATATAACATGTATTATTGACTGGGCATTCTCATTCTCCGCGCCATCAACAATACTTCTCTGTACTCCAAGCCTACCTCACCCAAGAGATGAGTGGGAGCCTGCAATGACGTCCGCATTCAGGTCCAGCTTCACAGGTGACGGCACTATGTTATACTCTACAATTTGGAAAAGAGCTAGGATGGTTTGGCTCTTTATGCGTCTGGTTAATCTTGATGGCTTGCGGGACTATCATTATTTTGCAGAGCTGTATACATTGTGTTCCAGCAAGCCTGCCGAGGAGCTATTCACAGGATTCTGGCAGCTATATACAAAATGTGATGTTATCAACATGAGACAAGTTCTTTCCAGCAATGATCCGTCACCAACTGAAATCAAACGGGGAGAAAAGGAATACTTTACTAATGTGGGTATTGAGCGGCAGGCTGTAGCTACAAAGCTTAATATATGCTCAGTATTGAACGGATCTTTTGTTGCTGATAGTCGGCTCTGGCATTGGATCGAGAAAGCAGTAAATTTGAAAGAGACATTGTAGATAGTGTCAAAATTTACAAGTTTCTAGCTATCCATTGAGAATAGAATCCATAAACTGTCATCCTATAGACTATAGTACTTTACTACAGTGCCATGTCAAAAGTGTTGGCACCCTTTTTTTCAAGTAACACTTTTCAAACTTCAATTACTCCACAAGATTGTATGCTAGTATACTGAATAATATAATTAATATGAAGATAAATGCTTGAACTATTCATTGTGTCTTTAATAATTTAATTCTGACTTATTTTCATTATGAATAGAGAAGTCTATATGATGATAGCTTTCTGTTATATTTAATGAGATTTACAGAGACAATAATTTATAATTATTTAATAAAATCATTCTTTAAGTATTCTTTTATCAATTCTCTACATATTAATATGTATTAATTGATATGTTACAATACAATTTTGTTGAGTAACTTGATTGTGAAAAGGGTGGGTTTTGGTGTAATAGTAGGAGGGGTGCCAACACTTTTGACCTAGTACTGTATAACTTTGAATAGGATTTTATTAATTATCATCAGAAGAATAGGATGCAATGACTGCTGACAACTCAAGACATCTATAATTATTTTAAGCATAGTTCAATAAAAGAGATATCTGCAGTTGCATTAATGAGATGCAGATTTGAATTATGTATAAATGTCAATAAATCATCAAAACATGCAGTCTCAGAAGCTACAGAGAGAGCAGAGTTGTTATAAAACTCAGAATTGATGAGCAGAGACTCAGAGACAGATAATGAATGCACAGAGTGTAACAGTCTCATATTCAAGAGAGATCTAGACTAGACTGACCATAGAGATTTCTTTGGAAATTCAATGGAATGACAACAGAAATGAATCTCATTTCTTTTACTTTCTATCTCTTCTCTGTGGGACAAGCCCATTACTCTATCTCATTACATGTATCTAGTCAGTGTCCCATTTCCAACCCTATGAAAATTTTCTACTCCCAGTCCCATCTCTGAACATTATGACATTGTCCCATTCTCTGTTGGAACATAATTTACAAGTGGGACATTTAGGGATGGGAAATCCTGTCCCTGTGCCCAGACTATTAGTAAGCTCATAGAATCATTAAACATGCACTGGGTCATTATCAAGAACCATTATCTCTGGAATAATGCACAAGAAAATTTTGAATTATCACTCTGAAGAGTCTCTCAAAGAGCACAGAACTATTTACATTAATTTTTTTTTTTTTTTGTTTTTTTTTTTTACAAAAAACCCCCCACCATCTATGACCTGCCAAAATATTGGCAGTTCAGGCAGTCCAGAAGACTGTGCATCAGAGTCAAGTCAGCTTGAGATAAAGTAACTCATTCACAATGAACAGTCATCATATTTTCATCTAATCTTCATTAAATATTTCATCTGCATTTCATGAAATTTACTTACACTTCAAAAATGTCATAATTGTGTTCTCAACAGACATTTGTAGTGTTATCAAGACACTTCACTGCCATCACAGTCAAGAATTCAGCTCAAAGATGATTTCACAGATTAAATGCTGAAAGAGAATGAAGAGCATCACAAAGTCAACATGCTGAAAATATTAGCAGATTTTATGCTCAGCATCTATTGCATCATTAGCATCAGAGTCATTATCTTGGATCATTATCACTTACTGCTGGCAGAGATGAAGAACATGAGAGCAGAGCAGAAGTAAGTGACAAGATATTCAGTCATTATGCAGCTCAGCATTACATTAATTCAGAGCTTATTATGTTGATTTCAATAAATGCAAGTCTGATTCAGCTCATCTTGACAGTCTGTCAGCAACTCTTATCACATTGATGCACAGAGATAGTTCTTATTCTTCTCAATTTCCCTTTCAATTGTTAGTGAAAAAAGAATTGAGTCTGTTATCTTGAATCATTACTCACAGAAGAACTGAGTCAGTAGTGCAGAGACAGAGATGAAAAATCTCTTTCTCTTTCTTTTTATTATCATCATCATCATCATCATCATCATCATTATCATCATTGTTGTTGTTGTTATTGTTGTCACTGTTGCTGATGATCATATTCTCACTCATCATTATTATCATTTTCTCTTCATCATCATCATCATCATCATTATTCTCATTCTTCTTTTTCCCACCACCAGCAACAACACTGATGGCATTGATGATGGTCAAATTATCAGTCTTCAATCCCACCAACTCAGTTAGTTTTATCTGGCTGGGCCCTGATGAGCCATCATCTTTACCACCAACATTATCAACTGATGGTGGGGAGCCAGCTTGGAATTCATCACAGAGAGAAGAGTTGATAAGTGCAGAGAAAGTCATTGTTTCTATACTCACACATTAGCATCTCTTCTTCATTCAATTCATCATGTACACAATAATACTCACCACAAGAATGATGTGAATAGTTGAAGAAAGAGAAAGAGAAAGAGTTAGCATTATGTGAATATAATTATTAATAAGCAATATATGTTGTGTAGCAACTCATCTCAATGACAACTGTGTAATCTGACAACAGATTGTCAATAACACTGTCAACACAATAAACTGTAGATGTAAATAATAATTCTCTGACACTCTTCTCTTCTCTTTCACATCTCTCTTGCTCACATCACTGTCTGCTTGCTCACTCACTCACTCACACACTGCAACTCTCAAGCCCATAATCTCAATTCATTACTTCACAATGGTTAATGAGAGAGTCAAGACACTTTCAGTGCATTTAAAAACTGTTGTTGTCTGCAAAAGACATTGCACTCTGAAGAGAATCAATGATCTCAAAAATAAAGCTGATCAGACAGATCAGAAGACTCAATACAATGCAATACATTATATGAAGAAGACTGCAAAGTGGTAATGAATCTCAGTAATGAGTCTAATATCTTTGTGACAAATAGCTAATGGTCAGTAGGGTGGAAGCAAACTCTGAGCAGCAACAGAAGATGGAGATGAAGATGATGAAGACTATGATGCAAAAACAGTTTGATGAGAATAAGTTCTGTGAATATCTTGAACATCAAGAGCTCAAAATAGTGGAGAAGAAGAAGAAGCATCAGATGAAGAAGCTGAAGACAGTGATAAGCTCTTTAGCAAAGAAGATGAAGAAGAGAGTAGATATAGACTGACTGCAGAGACAGAAATTTCCCAACTGAAATCCCATCCCTAATGCACTAATGGGAAATTGGGATGGGACTGGGACTTGATAGTTCAAACTGAGATGGGACTGGGACTTGAGTTTCAAGTACTGCAATGGAAATGGGACTTAATTTAAAGAGATTGAGATTATTTAATTAGGGATAGAGTTCCTCAATTTTCCTAAACCTAAAATAAAACCTTATTTTATACTATTTTTAGTACCAAAATCATATAAAAATGTATATATGCATTTTGACTTGATGTGCCAATTTTTCTATTTTGTCATATTTTGGTGTAAAAATACACTTTCAAAATAAAGTTTGAAAAAAAATTAAAGTTGTTTTAGGGATAGGGAAATTCAGGGATGGGACATAACATAGAAAATTTGAAACTGAGAAGGGAATGGGACTTGTTTTCATATTTTGTGATGGAATTGGGACCAATTTTCAAATTTTGGGAAGAGATTGGGATCAACTCAATTGGGATTAACATTCAGTCTTGTCCCATTGGGATCCCAAAGGGACTTCAACAGTCAGCCTAAGTAGATAACAGTTCAAGATAACAATTCAGCACATTTTCTGACAGAATTACAGAAGAAGACCAATGACAATGATGTCACTGATTGTTTTGCTACTCACTTCAGTGAAATGATGCAGCAATTAGAGAGAGACTGGGCTCAGCATGAGTATGAACAGCTGACTGCAGCAGAGATGAAGAGAAAGTCTGTCAGAGAGCAGATGCAGAAGTTTTTTATGCAGATCAATTTTGAAGAATTGACACTGTCTGCCTCTTCTGAAGAAACTAGAGAGAAGAATTTTGAGATTGTTGTCTTCTCAGATGAGAAGAAGAAGAAAGATGAGAATGAGAATGATAACTAAGTGATGAAGAATTGATTTTTCTGTTAATTAGTTAGAGACACTAGCTATCTTTGAGTAGTTAATCTGTGCTCATGAAGCAATGAAGTCATGTCAAACAGTGCACATCTCTTCATTGAAGTCTGAAAAGCCCACATTAGAATGTATATCCCACCAAAATATTCATCATAGTTCATTTGATAAGAGCCATGGAGCACAGTGGTGCAAAAATTAATGTAATTGAAGCATGATTGTTGATGGTGATTGAAAATGATGCAATGTGTAAGTAAGATCTAGATGTTATCAATGATATTTTGTTAATTTACATCTAGAAATATGACTTGACAATTCTCTGAACACATTTCAACCATCAACAAAGATCTAGAAACAAAATAAATGCATAGTAGTGTGCAGACAGTCATATACAATCATTCTATTCATTTAGAATTTTTATATTTAATTATTTGTGGTGGCATTCTGACAAGATGTGATGGACTGAATCTGGCATAGTTTATTTACATTTGAAATTTTCACATGATCACTTCTGTTCCCACCAACAACAACCATCTTAATTACAAAAATTCATCAGAGATCATTATCAAAGCATGTTATCTTTCTTGTTCATTGAATTTATTATTTACTCATCATGTCTAGTCATTCTCTCTCTGAATTTCTTGTTGTCCCATTCACTGACAATCAATCTCTTGTTGATGAGAAATTCTCAGTGTCACTAGAAGACATACTCAGTGAACTGAGACAGAAGCATCTTCATGAAAAGAATTATATTTTCTATGAAGCTTCAAAGCATTCTACTTTCATACAATGATGAAATTTCACACTGGACTATGAGAACAGCTTCTGGGAGAAGTAAAATCATTCACACTGAAACAGCAGTCAATAAAGAGCAGTCTACTGAGAGAGCTATCATCAGACAGCAGAAATATCTAACAGAGTATCTGCTGTTATTTGTCAATTCTGTAAAACAATACTTGCACACTCAAGCTTCACCACACAAGGCACAAGTGATATGCAGTGACACTATTCAAGTCAGATCTGTGATCAATTCAGAAATAGAAAAAGAGATTGTGAGCAATCAATAGTTGTTATGATGATATGTCATGCTCTTGATTAAAATTGATAACAGTCAGAGATAACACTTTCTTGATAATTTAGAAAAATGCTCTCATTAAGAAACAGAAGTTGTCACACATATCATACAGTAAGAAAACTCTTCATGAATCTGTTCTTCAAACTGTTATATCACTTAATCTCTCTTTTCACACTGTTGACAACTTCGATTTTCATGAACTGATTGAACTTATTCATGAAGAAGTTGTTAATGACATGTCTCATTGCACAAAACTTCAAGATCTTTTGACTGATAAGTACAACAAGACTATTAATACTACATTTCAAACTCTGGATTCTACTGTAAAGATGTTCTTTGCTGTTGATGCATGATCTAGCCCACACATGCTGTTCTTTCTTGAAATTGTTGCATTTTATATAACTGACAAGTAGACCTTTGAAGAAAGATTAGTTGGCTTTGAGCTAATTAAAGATTCACATGACAGAGTTAACATGAGTGAGTATTTCTACTCAGTTCTAAGTACTCATGTCATCACAGAGCAGTTTCTATGTATAACAGTCAATAATGCCAGCAATAACAATACTTTACAGCAATCACTAAAAACAAAGCTCAGTTAACTGAATGACAATGACTGAAATAGTGTGTTAGACTCTATTTCTTGTCTTGCTCATATTCTACAACTGATGATGAAGACATTAATAAATAGCTTGAATATTGAAAGTGACAATGAGAACACAGCTTCACAATTTAATGATGATCATATACTCAGCAATATTGACATGAAAACATTGAAAGATACTCTTCAAAAGATAATGCTTCTTAATAACATTTCAACATTCATTCACCACTAACACTTAATATGAACTTCATTCAGATCCATCTACTTACAAATGCTGTCTGAGCATTCTCTGAATGTTGAGAGTTATTTCTTGAACTACAAAAAAAAGAATGTGTGTTGAATATGATTAGTGATGTGAAGACAAGATGAAATTCAACATATTAGATGGCTGTGTGTACTCTTTTTCTCCACCCATATCTGTTGCAATGGATTGAAAAAACAAATAACTGCAAGATACAAAGTCTGGCTCTGAATGACTTAAAGTGACAACAGATTAAGTATGTTATATGTTTACTGTGATCATTTATGATGCTCATCAAGACATTGTCAATCACAAAAGGCTCAACTATTCACAGAACATTTCATATATACAATGGAATATTTGATCACTTAGATAACAGAGAAAAGAGACATCAAGAGAGTCACAATAAAAAGACACTCTTACTAAAGCTTATAAGACAGCATCTGAGAAGCTTACTATATATTATTTAAAGACAGCAGATGAATATGAAAAAATCTACTCTGTTGCAGCAGTTCTGAATTCTTTCAAGTAAATGAATGCACTGAATTCAAGACACTGAAAGTGAGAAGAATGACAGAAGTATTGAGATCTCATTCTGACATTCTATGATAAGTATTATAAGCAACATGAGATGTCAGTGTCAAGTTCATTAGATGCAACAGAACAAATTAAGATACTGATTTCACAAAACACTGCACAATAATAATGCTGACAACAGAGCAATCTAGAATGTGAACAGTGTCTTCTTTAATAACTTCAGTCATAATAATGCTGATTCTAGTACTATCAGTGAATTTGAAAAATATCTTAATAATGTAGTGACTGCATCACTTAAAGATGATGAAATTCTAGACATATGAAGAGAAATTGACCAACAATATTCAACAGTTGCTAGAATGACATAAGACATATTAACTGTTTCTTCTTCTGAAGTGAGTGTTGAGCAGAAGTTCAATTCAGATTGAGACATCTGTTCATATTAATATAATCATCTTGCAGAATCAACAGTAAAGTAAATAATGATTGTCAAGCATGCAGAAAATGAATCTTTGAATGATGAGCAGATGTCAGCATTACAGTCAGATATGAATTGTTTTGTTGACATTGAGAAACAAGAATTTAATAACTATCAACTTTTAGCATCAGAGAATGAGTTGACAATTATATGTTACTTTAAATCAACTGATCAGAGTGCATCAAATATTCAAGCAACAGACATTAATCACAGATTACAGAAGAAGAGAGAGATACAGAGAAGATTACAGTGAGATTAGCAGAACTGATCTTTATGTGTGAAAATATACTTAAAGCATTATCTCAGATCATTACTTGTAATTATGTAATCTAGTTTCCAGAGACTGAAGATTTCAGACTCATTATGACTAGTCTCTATTCCATCTCAGTCTCAGCATGTAGTAGCTAGTTCCACTTTGTAGAGTTCTCTGAGGCTGCTTAGTAAGTTTCATTTCAAAATTTCTAGTCTCAATCTCAATTCAATTTTTCAATCTTCATCTCATTCTCAGCCCTGTTCCTGAAGGTCAAGCCCCATTCCCATCCCATTTAAAAAAAAAAACAGTTGGGACAGAATCCCAGTCAGGAAATCCCTGTCCCTGCAGTCAGCCTAGTCTATCAGACTAATGAAGATTTACTAGAGATTTTTCATATGTTTTTCCCATAGCCTTGATTATAGCATGTTTGTCTATAAGTATCTGTGTCTCATTTGTTAGGAACAGACCAGACACAATATTATAGATGTTCAGTCACATGATCATCACGTGCTCCTGTGTCGTCCAATATAACTACCTACCTACTAGCTCACTGATTCGCACATAAGGTATGAAATTAACTAACTAGTTAACTACCCGCGTGGTCCCCGCGCGCCTCGACGTGACGGGCATTAATATTGACTTTGGCCGTGAAGCGGCCTAACTAGCCGAAGTCTCGAGTACGACCGTCGCTCTGTGCGCCTCCAACGCCGACGAAAAGCAAACAACCAACCCACAGCAGGATCAGGAAGAAAAGAAAAGAAAATGCTCGCCCGTCTCCCCAAGGTCCCTCTGCGCAGGCCGTCCGGCCTCGCGCGCACCCTTCTGCTCGCCAACGCCGGATCTGAACCCTGGCTCTGCGCGGCACGATGCGATCAGCGTGCGAGCCCTCAGGCGACCATGGACTGACTGACTACTACTGGGACTACGGAGTATGGAGTAACTATGTACTCCGTATGCCTCCCTGCATGAACGGGGCGCCTGTCTGGCTCCGGTTTCAGCCGGGGAGCAGCTCGCGGGTTCCCTCGATGCTACTCCTCCTTCTCCTCCGCCTCCCTCCCCGCCCAGGCCTGGCTTTGCCTTCGTCGCTGCCTTGGAGAAACGGCTTGTCCTGCCCATCGTCGTCCCCTACTGGCCATGTTGCTTGTTGTCGTCGCGGGGGTGTGCGTGTTGGCGCTCGTCTGCACACGCTTGCTTGCCCGCGTTTCGGCTCTGGCGGCCATTCCCAATGCTCACTTCTCCGTTCCTTTTTCGCCAGCATGGATCCGGTGGAAACGCCAGCAAGGCTGCCAGAACCGAACCATCCTCGCCCTCCATCAAAGACTGGGCCCGATCGTCCGTCTGGGGCCGCGGGAGGTCAGCGTCAACTCGGCCGGCGGACTGCGCACTGTCTACGTGAGCGGCGCGTTTGAGAAGACGAGCTGGTACCGCGAGCTCTTCCAAAACTACAATGTGTCCAACCTTGTGAGCACAGAGGCCCATGGGCCGCACTCGGTTCAGAAACGGATGATCACCGGCATCTACTCCAAATCCTATCTCCAGAACTCCCGCGATCTGGCTGAGATATCCCGCGCCACTATCTTTGGCAGGCTGCTCCCCTTGCTCGACAGCTTGGCAACATCCCAGACCGCCGTCAATGTACTCAGCCTGGGCAAGGCCATTGGAATGGACTTTACCACCGCGTATCTGTTTGGCTCAGCAAACGGCACCGACTTTGTATCCGACAAACCTTGCCGGAATGCGTGGCTGGCGATGTACGAAAAATTCAAATACCAACAGCCCGAAGATCGAGCATTCGGCCCTGTGGAGCAATGGTGCCTTGGCCTTTGTAAAGCGGCGGAAGCTTACGGCGTCGTGCAACCTGGCATAGGCACCTTCCCCGTCGTCCACCGGCAGCTGTTCTCGTCCCTCCAGCGGCTGCATAGTCCTGCACGGCCGTCCGCGGAACCAAGCATCATCGTCGCCTCGGAGATGCTAGACCACATCGTCGCCGGCCATGAGACGACGGGAATCACCTTGACTTACCTGATGTATGAGCTATCACGCCGTCCCGAGCTCATGGTTACCCTCCGCCACGAGCTGCACGGCCTCAGTCGACCGATCCAGCTGCCCGGCGTGGCATGCGATGCGCACACCCGCGTGCTGCCGTCCGCGCAGGAGATTGATAAGCTCCCCTTGCTCGAGGCAGTAGTGCGCGAGACACTACGCCTATATCCCGCTGCCGGGGCGCCGCAGCCGCGCGTGTCCCATTCCAAATCAGCGGTGATCGAGGGTTACGTCATCCCTAGCGGTGTAACGGTCAGCTCCTGCGCGTATTCCTTGCATCGAAACCCAAGAGTTTTCCCCGAGCCAGAGGAGTGGATACCGAGCCGCTGGATGCGGACTCCAGCCGAGGTCAAAGAGATGAATCGCTGGTTTTGGGCGTTTGGGAGTGGCGGACGAATGTGCTTGGGAAGCAACCTAGCTTTGCAAGGTAACGGCCTCCGGATTTCTTGACGCCGCTCGCCACGGGAACTGACCAGGAATATTGTCGCAGAATTGAAGCTCGTCGCCGCGGCGATATACTCTAACTTTACCACGTTCATCGTGGACGCCGAGGGAATCGAGCAGGCGGATTCGTTCATCGGGGGTCCAGTGTCAAACAAACTCATTCTAGGATTCACCCATGCAAGATGAAATGGTGCACGGGGTAGTTCCAAGCAAGCAACAGAGAAACAGGAAATTTGATAGTTAATTCTGCCAGAAGAAAAAACAACAAAAGCAACAGACAAAAATTGCGATTTTTGACTTTCGTTTCGCTAATTATAAGCATGCGCCATCAAGGAGTCGCCAGGATCCCTGGACTAGAAAATCGTTATTAGCGCCGCCGGCCCGCCTCCCGTCTCTCCCCCCCCGACCAACAGAAGCCCGGCGGCCCAAAAAAACCTTCGCAGGCGATCCACCCATGAAAACGGAAAACGCTGGACATGGACATCGAGAATCCTCCGCCGCCCAACCAGGCTCACGGGCCCCAGGCGCTCCTGCTAACTGGCCCATCGTCGTCTTCGTCCCAATGTGCCTTGGGGTTTTCGCGCGGCCCGTATTGGATCGTGTACGCCACGTCTTTTTTGATGATCATCTTCGTGCTCTCGTTGCTGGCGATGCTGGCTGCCGTCACCGCCGCCTGATGGCTAGCCTCGTCGCATCTAAACACGGGCCCTCCCGGCTCGTGCGTGTTGCCTTGAGCATCGGCGTGGTCGAAGCTTCGCAATTTGCCTGCAGCGTTATTATTCCCCAGCTCTTTGAGCGCATAGCTGCCGGTCGCAGACCGCTCAGCCTCGTCCGTCGCATAGCCATGTCGTTTTCGGTAGCTGCTGGTCCCACCTGTTGTCCCGCTGCTTGTGCCACCGGCAACGCCATAGTTGGTGCTCACCGCGGCCATGAATGGCTTCAAGCAGTAGCTCGTGCAAGCAATAACACTGAAATGAAGCGCTATTTGTGTCCAAACAGCTGTGTCAACCATATCCAGGGACCGGTCGGGTGCTCTATATCCTTTGTTAAAAACATGTAGCCGGAACCCAACAAAGATAACGAGTCTGCTCCCGATTTAGCATATTAGCAAGTAACTAGGTGTACAAGGTATGTTGGGCTGGGAAACGTACGGTATTCGAGAGCCAAATGTGCTGAGAACGACCAGCTTCCGTGCCATCGACATCTGAAGCCCGAACACGAGGTAAACCGCAAGGCAGAAGAGACAGCCTTCAATCATAATGTCGAACGCACTAATAAGCTGCCATCGCAGAAACTTCAACACTGTAAGCCAGCAGCCTCCAAAAGATACCAGATTCACTTGACTCACCAGGCTGGGGCAATTTCCCCCAAGGGCCTCGAAAGGCATGTTTAGTGCGCAGTTGATGCCAACCAATAGCACTGAAGCAATCATCCAGGCTGTCGAGAATGCAAACGTTGCCCAAGTCGCCCAGTTGTGGCTTTTGACCGGCGTGAGACGCAGAAAAACAGTGACGACGCAGCATTTGGTGAGATACAAGGCGACCAGATAGAAGAAGTCTGCTGTAAACAATGCCTAGGGAGGTCAGCGAGGAAGGTGTAGGATGCTGTCCTGGGGCTGCTGACCTTTTGGACGTACTGCAAGTTGCCGGGTGCTATCTGTTCTATGGCACTGCCGAAGCCTTTTGAAACTGCGCTGAATATGGTTCCATTTTGTATGACAGTGCAGATCTATAACCATAGATTAGAACGTCTTCGGGCTGCGGACGGGTGCAAACATGACGGTCCTACCGTAGCGGCCAGAAATACAATGTCGTCTATGCCAAACGAAGGGCTGATGGAAAGCCGCACATAGAGGCGTATAGACAACGAAGCAAGCGTGATGGTCAGGCCCATCGCCGCCGCAATGACCACCCAGGCGCCATGGTGCTGCGCATCGACGGGCAACAGAGGCGGCAGCAGATCCTCGGTGGCCATCGAAGCAGGGCGAGTTGATATCACTCCATGCGTGTCACCGCCCGGAACCGTTCTCACGCAACGACAGCGGCCTCTTTCTTGCACGACCAGCTTTTGAATCTTATAGCAGCACGGACAGCATTGATCGAATGACGCGAATCCTTCGGGCCGGGGGGCCCGCCTGCGATCCCTGCATGGCGCCAGCCAGGAGGCCTGGCGGGGGGGAGCGCATTCCGGCGTGGATTTGCGCTGAGACAACAGGCCCGTCCGCCGCTCGAGCCGGGATCGCACACTAGCTGGCCCGCTACCTTCGTCGTCGCTTGCAGAGCGCTCACCGGCGAGTCAGGTTGCACGGGCGTGCAGCATGCAGGGGAAAATACCCGAAGGCCCGTTTTTGTGGCTTCGTTTCCCCCTGCGCGGTGCCCACCGCACGTTGCTGTCGCATGGCGTCTCCATATCTGGCTGCGAGGCATCTGCTGGCGGAGCCGGCTGGCCCGCCGACAACCCAGTCTGCTTTAATTCCGCGTCTCCTGCTTCTCCTCCTCTTCCCCTCCTGAAGTCCGCCGGTGTCCTCCTCCCACTGCGCAAACAATGTCCGCCAGGTCGTCGTCGATCAAGAACGGTTCGTCTCCGGTGGACTGCAAGGCCGAGATGCTGGCCGCGCAGGCGCCGGACGACGAGCTCGCAGGCAATGGCCATGTGGAGTCGAAGTACATGGGCACGGTGGCTGATCGCCGTGAGATGAACGCGCTGGGGAAATCGCAGGTGCTGCGGGTAAGTCAACAGCCCACGAGTTACACCGTCCAGACACGCTGACCAGGCAATGATGCGCAGCGAAATTTCCGCTTCATCTCGATCTTGGGATTCGGCAGCACGTTGATCGCAACGTGGGAGGTGATCTTGACGTACGTGTGGTGCACCACCGCCCGCGAGAGCATTCGCTGATACTCTGTCTTGTCGTGTATAGGCTGCTGGGCTTTGGCCTGTTGAACGGCGGCACCGCCGGGCTCGTCTGGGGTTTTCTCGTTATCTTCTTCGGTGCCACGATGGTCTTCGCCAGCCTGGCCGAGATGGCCTCCATGTAGGTGCCATTGCTACCGCACCGCTTGCACCCTCGACTGACGGCTCGCAGGGCGCCCACCGCCGGTGGCCAGTACCACTGGGTGTCGGAGTTTGCGCCGCGCTCGTGGCAGAAGTATCTCAGCTATATCACCGGTAAGCAGCAGCTTTTCGGCCCCCTTGCCCTGCCCCTTGACTCACCCGTGCATTGCCAGGCTGGATCTGCACCCTGGGCTGGCAGTGCACCATTGTGGCCATCTCCTTCATTGCTGGCACGGTCATCCAGGGCCTGATCACACTGAACAATGATGCCTATGTCCCCAAGCAGTGGCACGGCACCCTACTGGTTATTGGCATCGCTAGCTTTGCTGTCTTCTTCAACACTCTGCTGGCAAAGAAACTGCCCATGGTAGAGGGCCTGTTTCTCATCCTCCACGTTCTCGGCATATTCCTGATCATCATCCCACTGTGGGTGCTGGCACCCCGCCACTCAGCCAAATTCGTCTTCACCGAGTTCAACAACGGTGGCGGCTGGAATTCAATCGGCACATCTGCGCTCATCGGCTTTACAACCTCACTTCCGTCAATGATCGGCTACGACTGCACTGTTCATATGGGTCTGTACATGCATGCTCCTCATTGTTTCATAGCTTCACCTGCTAACCTCCTATTCCAGCGGAGGAGATCCAAGACGCCTCGCGAACCCTACCAAAGGCCATCATGGGGACTGTTTTCATCAACGGTATTCTCGGGTTTCTCATGATGCTCACGCTGTGTTTCACTCTGGGCGATGTCAACAGTATTTTGGAAACTAAGACTGGCTTCCCGTTTATCCAAGTCTTCTATAACACGACCCAAAACCTCAAGGCATCATCGGCAATGTGTGCAATTGTAGTTCTGACTCTGACAGCAAGTGCCATTAGCGAGATTGCGACCGCCTCCAGGCAGCTGTGGTCCTTTTCGCGGGATAATGGTATGCCCTTTTCCTCTATCCTCTCCCATGTAAGTACTACAATGTCCTCCATAACCACCTCCATCTAACAGTGCTGCAAAGGTGCCTCCACGGTGGAATATTCCCCTCAATGCTGTCTTTGTATCTCTCTTCGCGACATCTCTTCTTTCTTTGATCAACCTCGGTTCTTCTATTGCCTTGAACGCCATCATCTCGCTCACAAACTCGTCACTTGTTACTTCATATATGATATCCATTGGTTGTGTTCTGCTTAAGCGGCTTCGTGGCGAGCCTCTCCCATCTCGCAGATGGTCGCTCGGCCGCTTTGGCTTTGCAATCAACGTAGCCGCTCTTTGCTATCTCGCTCCAATGTTTGTCTTCGCATTCTTTCCCCCCCAGCCCAACCCTAATGCCCAGACAATGAACTGGGCGATCGTTATGTATGGCTTTGTTATTTCGTTTGCAACTATTTACTATATATTTGTTGGAAGATTCCATTATGTACCACCCGTGTCGCTGGTCAAGAGGGAGGAATAACTAGTTTTGTCACTAGACACTGAATAATATAGATATGAGAAGGCCGGGTCGTATTCCACGTTATTGTATTCTGTATATTTCATATGATGCTAGCCACTATGTACATAATCTCTATCAATCGTCAAGTCTCTATACACACAGTTCTCTTATCAGCATGTTTAATTAGAATGATTTTGGATTTTGAGGAACTATCCGAAACCAATGAAATTCTCCGCCCTCATGGGTACAGTGTAGAAAAGCAGCTAAATTGGCGGAGAGAACTGGTTATTTGAATGACAGACTTGCTTGGCTGCCATTATTATTATTACTTTGAAATTCTATGGGTACACTAGCTGGGGTGCCCAACATGGCCAGTCTGTCTTTGTATTGCGCAGCACAGGCACCCCTGTACTGTCTGTACAGAATAGAACGAGATCCCAGCACTATATTGCAGGCCTTGGGAGAAAGGGAAAATGGAGCAGCATAAAATACAGTCGACCTTCAAAACAATCATGCATGTCACCTCAAGGATTCTATTACAACGCTGTGCGCGGCGCATAGCTTCGGCAACAGACAGCGGCAAAACTCATGCCCAGACTGTATGCAGTCCTTGCTGTCAAAATCTGGACCAATGCCAGCTGATGGCGCTAGGATTATAGGTAGGCGGCGAAACTGAGGTTTCCTTTGGGAGAAACAGGAGAATGTGCATGCTTATATCTAGTGCACTGACACAGCTGAGTAAGTGCGGATTTTGATTAATTATATTATTTATAGAATTTTGGGCGCCAGCGCTACGGAGTATCTACAGTCGATTACGCCCCTGCTTAATCGACCGCGCTGATGGTGCTTCAGTTTCATAAGAAATATCAATATCTCTCTTCATTATTATTCCCGATTCCTCCCCTTCACAGCGCCGGTTACACTCATTTGTCTTAATGATATATTCTTCGCTGCTTCTCCATGAAGATGCCTGACCAAGCTCTTTGCACCCGGCGGAGCTGATGTTTGTCACTTGTTTACCGCTAGTACCATGAATTGAATGGCGACGTAGAGCATATGAATTGACAGGTTCGGAGCCATATCGCTTGCTGTTATGGGTGGACATGTTGAATAGCCGAGGAAATAGGCGGGCGAGGGGGCCCTTTAGTAGAGGAAGGCAGGCACAAATGATGCCAGTGTTAGCTTCAATTAATGTCCAAATAGACCGTGAAATGAAATCCCCTAGTTAGCGACGGCTTTGATTAGTTTGATCGGGCCACAGAAGGTGGTGGGAAAGAAATAAGCTCAGGACGTACACGAGATATCCTTTCTCGGACCAGTGGTTGTCTGAGCTACTGCTGTGGTTCGAACAATGCTAGTCACGCACACGCTGTTCAAATATAGTCAGCCGGCAGATACTTGAGTCTAGTCACCAAGGGAGGGAGCACACACAATGCTCCGAGAGCGAAGACACCCAAGAGACCAATTTTTTCTTTCCAGTGCAGGTGGAGTTTAAGTATTGGTTGAATGGGTAGGAATAGCAATATAAAATCAAGAGAGGTATTAGTGACGGCAAAGCCGTACCAGAAGGCGTTTTTGTCGATGCACGTCGCTTTCACAGATCTGTCCCAGGAGGCCGCGAGCGGAACACACTGAAAAATGGTGGCAAATATCGACGCGATGGCCCAGATGACAATAGCAGTCATCACAGCATAGCAAACACGTTGGAAAGTCTTAGAGATAAAGATGCGAATATACAACCACACAATGGAGATCTTGGTGAAACCCAGGACGAGCTTGTACAGGGTTTGGGCAATGAAGAACCACTAGATGCAGACAGAGCGTTAGTGACCCCAAGGCCGCTGTAGGTAGCCAGGATGGGGGTGGACTGACCCTCAGCGAAAGTCTTTTCTGCCGGTTAGATAAATGAATAGATCTTGTGCCATAGCCATGAACGACGGCTGGTTGGTGGCTGTTAGCGGAGAGATGGGGACGACACGCACAAATAGCACCCACCGAGATTGATTGTTGCAGTCAAAAATATCGAGGAAATCTGTACCGGAGGATCAGCAACGAGCAGCCTTGGGTTTAGAGCAGAATCCCATCCGTACCAGGGCAGCGATGACCATGTAGTCGTCCATTCCAAGGCGTTTCGTTGAAATGCGCGTGGACACGCGGGCAATCACAAAAAGGGTGGCGATCAGGACCATGACCAGCGCGGTGATGTAGAGCTGGTAGCCACGGCTTGGGGCATCAGGCGTGCCCTGGCCGTAATTGATGGCCATTGCGCGGATTCTCTGAGATATCAAGGCCGACGCAAGGCAATGCAACGCAGCAGCAACAGCAGATACGGCCGTCCCGGAGCGGCGGGAGCAAGCAGAAAGGGGCCAGGTCTTAAAGGACGGCGAAATGACGGCTGAAGCAAGGCCACTCGAGTGGGCAGCGGGCTCGCCGCCGCGGCAACGGTGGCATGAGGCTTGGCCGGGCCAGGCGCTGGATCACGCAGGGGTCGTTAGCTACATCGTTAGTTAGTTCGCAGGAAGCTGGACTTCGTCCACGAGGAGGCATTGCAGCGGTGTCTGGCTGGGCGTTGGTGTTGATCCCGAAGCCGATGATATCGATGTTGTCGGGAGTTCGTTGTCGTGGTGGCCGCGCACCGCGGCGAGTCGTCGCCATCACCGCATTCGGCAATCCCCACGGCCTCATCTCCTGAGTTCCTCGTCTCCTCCGCCCGCGCGCTGCTGGCCGGCACCGCGCTTGGGCCTCGCGCGTCCCCAGCTGCTATGTAACCAGCCAGGCCGTGAAGTTTGTTTTCGCCTGTCGCAGAGTTCATGGCACCCCCGCCGCCGCCCGCAGAGTTTTCGCTCATTTCGCGGCTTGCTCCACCCCGGGGCCCAGCGTCGCCTGCCCGTCCCGTCCGCTGCTCGACCCTTGGGTCGCGCGGCCGCCTTCAACCACGGCCAAGGCCCGTACCCGCCAACTATCCAGCCCGCCGCTGCCTGTGGGATTCTTCGTCTGCTTCGTCGTCACCGCGTCTTTCTAGCGCGGCGCCCGCCTGGCTGCTGCCGCTGTGCCGCAGCAGTGAGGAGAAGCTCGGCGAGCTGCTGGGCCGCGGCTGGCCAGGGCTAGCCACCGTCTATATTTGACTCGGCCGTTACCCTCGCCATCCCTGCCGGTCTCCTCAATCTGCTCTGAACTTGTGTTTCATCTTTCGGATTCACCAAGTGTTTCGCCGCCATGAAGCTTTCTACGGCTGTCTTGCTCGCGTGTCCGCTGCTGGGCTCTTGCTTCCGCGTCCACACTTCCAACGGTCCCATCTTTGGCCACCCTGCCGGCGCTGCGCCTGGAGTCACGGAGTTTTTGGGGATCCCATACGCTCAGCCGCCCATCGGCCAGCTGCGGTTCAAGCCTCCCCAGAAGTTGACCGCTCGCCGTCAATATGTGGCCGCGAACTATGTGCGTATCTCCTAAGCCCGGGAGGCGAGACGCCTGGCTAACCCGTCCATAGTCAGCGTAAGGAAGACGGAGCTGCGGACGTGTCTTTGTGTGCGTGGCTGTTCTCTGACCTATGCCAGGGACTGCGTCTTCACTCCTTCCAGGCGCGTCGACTTCCCAGCAGCGACGCCCAATTTCCCCCGGATTCTCTCCGCCTTTACTGGCGGCTTGGGCAATGCGCAGAGCGAGGATTGTTTGACTTTGAATGTCTGGACCAAAAGCACTGGCGCCAGGAAGAGGCCCGTGCTCGTCTTTTTCTATGGCGGACGTAAGCCCGTTATTCCTGCCCAGCCTTAATTTGTCTCGCCACTTTGCGCTAACTCGATCCCTTAAGGATTTACCACCGGCGACACTAACACCCCCTTTTACGCCGGCGAGTTCTTCGCGGACGCAGAAAACGTCGTGGTTGTCACTGTGAACTATCGCCTCAGCATCTTCGGCTTTCCGGGTGCGCCCGGCCAACCCCAGAATCTCGGCCTAAGGGACCAGCGCCTTGCTGTTGAATGGCTCCGAGATAACGTACGTGCCTTTGGAGGGGATCCAGAGCGAATCACCCTCTTTGGCCAGTCGTCTGGCAGTCTATCTATCGATGCCTATGCCTATGCGTATAAGCATGACCCCATCGTGGCCGGGTTGATTCTACACTCTGGCACCGTTTTCACCTTTCCTTTAAATACAGATCAGCTTGCTACTAGACATTGGTACAATGCCTCCACGCTTGTTGGATGTGGGTCCGAAGGCGATGTTTTCGATTGCATGATGACCAAAAGTGCAGATGAACTGAAGGCTGCAGCTGCTCGAATCCCAGCGCCACCAAACACGAGCGCCGCCCGCTCTCAGCCCGTCTTCCAACCCGTTCCCGATGGCGACGTCGTCTTTAATAATTACGATCAATTATCCTCTCAAGGCAACTTTGCCCGAATTGTAAGAATGCTAAGCGCCCCCTTCTAGATTCAAAAACTAATAACAAAATCTTTAGCCCATCATTGTTGGCCATACGGACCAGGAATCTGCCTTTTACAATATTTCAGCGTGGGCTAGGGGTACCTTTCTAACCGACCAGCAATGGGCTGAGTTTGTAACAGAAGTATTTGGCTGCACGTCTATGAAGTCAGCAGACTACAGAACTAGACACCATATCCCAGTATGGAGATATCGTTATTTTGGGGACTGGGACAACACACGTCTGTTCCCAAATAGCCGTGCCTACCACGGTGTGGACCTGCACATGATTTTTGGCAATTCAGAGGCTGTCAGTGGAGATCCTGAGTCACCGGAACAGACCAAACTAAAGTGCGTAATGCAAAAAGCCTGGGCTGCTTTTGCTGCTGATCCCTGGCGTGGTCCGAGGGATCTAGGGTGGCCTATGTACCGAAAGAATGGTAAGGCAAACGCCTCCAGGTGAATACCTTCAGCTAACATAGATCTCACAGGCCGAACAGTAGCACGGTTTGGTTATGCAAATACCCACAGACCGTCCTTCGTGCTCCCAAGTGTTTACGATGCCACTTGCCCTGCTGCATAAAGGGCTAGGCCACCGATCACTGCTAATGAGATATACGCATTTACGAGACGATGAATGTCCTCCAGCATTACCTTTTTTGGATTTGAGCCGTGTTAATTAAAGTGCAGAGTGCTAGATCACGCGCGCCATTTACAGATTTATAGAAAGAAGCCTGTCCAGTCTAATTCTGCGGAGTAGGTCACCTGTATTTACTCCGTACATCATTTGATTCAAATTTTTCTTGCACTTCAACTGTTCTCTCTGGGCCACGGTCTCCGCGCGTCAAGACTCCTAAAAGCCCACGTTTACTAGTTTTCTTCTGTTGAATTATTATTGCAGCATCGAACCGAGGTATCGCAGAATTTCACAGTGATCTGCAGTAAGTAATAAAGCACTTGGCCGAAAGGTGAGCATTCCTATAGCTCATTGCGCGATGTTTTCAAGGCCAACACAGCCGACGGCTTGTGCCCACGCATGCATGTTCTGCAAGAAGCAGGGGCTCAGGCGTGCATTTACTAGTTAGGTTTTACCTAGCTAACTACTCCGTACTCCGTACGCGGATTCGAGCGCTTGGGTAACTATGTCAACTTGGCGAAACCCACACATGAAAGCCATCCATCGTTTGTAGCAGCCATTCATTTATATTACTAGTTGCTATGGAGTACAAGGAGCGCCACCACTAACTAGTTAAATAACTACTAGGTAGCTAACTGATTTAGTCTTCTTCGACGAATGGACTTTCAAAGAACCATCCACAGAGTGCTCTGTACTTTATAGTGGGCGAGCCTGTAACATTTGAGGAGCACATGTAACTAGCTAATTCGGAGGCTTTATTGAATTCAATACTACGGACAGCTACCTGGACACAATAACCCTGAAGGCGCCTTATCATACCATTGATGTCTTGCCAGGCCATGCTTCTCAAAAACTGCTTACTATTAACACTGCCTGGGGAGTCCGGTTTCAATCCCTCTACCTTTAAGAAACTTTTTCCTTAGTGCTCTGGCCTGAATTTCCCACAAGGGTTCGCTGAGATCAAGAATCGTCCTTCCGAACGAATCCATAAGACGTTCCATATCCCCGCCAAGCTCTGGGATTTCATTACTTTGTGGTTCGCAGCCAAACGCCTGCAGAGTTGCCACTTTCCACTGGTTCTTCAAGTGGTTGAGCAGCTGCCAGGCATTCATATTTGTGGGGTCTAGATTCTTTGCGACCAAGTAGAAAGAGTTTCGGCTGGCGTGAAACCCTGTAGGTTTGACGAGATTTATATCTGCAAAATGACTAAAGGCTTCAATGATCCGCACAGAACGCGGGCTGTGCACTCGATGCAGGAGAAGGACGATGGTTCCCCCGCGCTGTATTCTTTGCAGGGCGAGAATGAGCTGAGCAGTAATCAGCCGGGATGGCTCTGATTGGCAAGTCACGGCACGGTGGTGCGAGCGAAGAACCTGCCCGTCACAGAAAATAAGGTCGAACTGCGATTCAACGAACGGTCTGTGAGGTGAAAATTGAGAGGCGGCGGGGTGATCGAGCGGCAAAAGACCCGGGTAACCGAATTCGGAGGACAACATGGTGATATCCATCAATTCCACCTCGACACGGGGATGATTTTTCCAATTCGGTAGAAGGATGTCGTGACCACCATCTTCCTTGGGCAGACTGAGGGCCGATATTCTGGCATTTCGATGATGTTTCAGAACGGTCGCGGAGTATCCGCCGGGGGCCATGCAGATGTCGAGAACTTTGAATTCTTCAGCTTCGTTTGGCAACGGAATAATATCCATTTGGGCTTGAAGTTGGTCGCCAAGGGCTCGCATCATCTTGAAGAACCATTTCTTCTGTGTGGCAGTTGCGGAATCGGCGCGTGTCCGCTGCAGTTTGAAATAATCGTCCACTTCAGGACGACTCCAGACCTATTCGTGCGCGGGTCAGCGTCACAGGGATATACAAGCAGGGAATGGGAGCCGGTCGGTTGGCGTACCGCGTTCTGGACAGCCAACAGGTCCCGAAAAATAGCCGACCTTTCTAGGAAATAGGACTTGACCCTCGTGTGGTCTGCGTTCCCTGGTCCGCCCTCTGTGGCCCGGACCACGGATCCAAAACAGTCGTCGGCCATGGGGGTGTGTGGTGTGCTATTTCAGGGGCCAACAGAGCGGCTCGCGCGAGGTTGTTCATGGCTCTTGTGCGCCTGGGGTGGAATTTCCCACCACATCCGGAATCACCCTTCCATTCTGTGAGTGAGGGACATCTCGCGCGCAGGCAAGCAGACAATGTGGGCATCTGCTTCGCAGGCCATTATGGTGCAATTCCCCGGGTGTGGTTCGGGACATTTTGTTGGGGTGGCAAGGCAGCCGACCCTGTTTCCAGCAACCATGGCTGGGAGATCCCGGGAGATGCATGCAGCACTTGCATGACGGGCGGTGAGGCCGGCGGAGATGGCCCGAGGCGGCACGTGAGCGGCGCGGAACAACAACGGGCCGGGCGCAAACAAGGTTTGATAGCGACAACCACGCACCGGACGCAGCACGAAGGTTGATGCCGGCGTGGAATCAGACGGGCGAACGCAAGAACGTGCAGGCCGGAACTGGGCGGGTGGGCAGGCAGGCAGGCTTGGGGCGGCCGGGAAAGCGGGCGTGCCGGGCAGGAAGCGGAGGAGGAGGAGAAGGAGGAGGAAGCGCAGGACGAGGAGGAGGACGGCGAGCAGGCGGCGGGCCAGGCCGGGCCGGGCAGGTGACGAGGACGAAGACAAGACGAGCACGAGAACGGGAAGGCAGACAGCCAGGCAAGGCGCACCGAACGACGCAGAGCACGGCGTGCGGCCACGTTGGGCGCGCGCGAGCACGGCCGGGCCCGCCAAGCGTCTCGTGCGTGCTTGCCAAATCCATCGCGCCCAATCAGCGCCCGCCCGCCGCCCGCGCCCCCCCCCCCGCGCCACACCCCCCCCCCCCCCCCCCCCCCGCCCGCCCCCCCCCTTCCCCCCCCCGC